TCTTGTGCAGCTCTGTTACACAGTGATGGGGAAAGGAGTGTGTTGAAAAGAAAAGGGATACGTATTGTGGGATGTTGCAGACAGGGGTTATACCTGGGAGCATGCACAAAATGCTTTGAGAAATAGATTCTGTTTCAAGGTGACGGTACCCTTTTAAATGTAAGCGTAGCGGTACCCTCCCAGTCTGCACAATATCCTGTTTTGAAAGGAACACGTTCATTTTGGTGGCTGAATGTTTGCTGCCCATGTGCAGACACACAAATGTCTTCAAAAACTTGGAGAGCTTCATCTAGGGAAGAGTTTTGGAGGGACGTCTGATGCTTTGGGGCACAGAAGATCCCAGTAGACCCCTGGCTGCTCTTCTGCTTTTGTCTAATGTGTTTAAGCTTTGCAATTCCAAAGCACAGTGAGGGTTTGTTTTATTTTTATCAAAGGGGTAAAAGTTAGTTTAACTTAGATTTCTCCACCTGATCCTGTCAGTTCCCTGTGGGATCTGGGGAAGGAGGCTTTGCGTTCAGCCAGAGAGCAGGCAAGCTGAGCAAATACCCCTCTTGTGAACTCAGTTCAGGTTTTGTTTTATCTCATCTCCCGCAAGTCCTCAGGCTGTTAATTTTTTTTATCTTCATAGAGTATTTTTCATCTCTGTAGCCCATTTACCTGGAGACGATGATCAGTGGCAGCATCTCCCTTACTCTGAGTCAGACACTAATGATCACCACCTGTAAATGGGTGCTGAGCAGCAAATGTATATTTGTGTAGCACAGGAGCAGGCAACCCCTGGCATGTGTGCCAGAGTGTGGCACGCAAAGGTATTTTGCTTGGCATGTGTCCTTCGGGGCAGATGGTGGGGGAGCTGTGAGTGGCCCAATCTTTGTTGCGGCAGTGCAGTCCCGGCCCCCTTCTGCCTGGAAGCATGCGTGCATCTGCCACTGACAATGAGCTGGGCCAGGGCTCTGCAGACCCTGGTGCAGCTGCTTGCAGCCTTACCTGCCACCTCCTGCAAGAA